GACAAATCTACGGTTTATGTTACCTCATCTCATTGCATGGTTACGAACTATAAACCTAAATTGAGCTTAAAATATTGTATAATTGGCTCTAATTTTTTGTAAAATACTTGGATATGATATAATGAATAATTTGCAGTGAAAAAAGCAATTTCCAATTTTTTTTTTTTTCGTTTTTTTTTGTTGAATTACCCCTCTTCTGCCAAACACATCATATAAGCTCCTACATTTCATTAACAAATATCAAATTCTATTTGATTTTTTAATGATAGATCAACTCCTTGTGTATCATTTAGCGCTGAAATTTAATTTTCTTGTCAGCTTTGGAGTAATCAAAATATATGTTATTCTGCTTTCACAATTGAATACATGGTAGATGACACTCAGCTTTTGTGTATATATATATGTTTGTGCGCACATGATTACTAGGGGCAGTGATATGTGTATATTGTAGCTTTGTTGAAACTATTTTGAAATGCAGTTTTATTTAAGAAATTGTAGGGTATTATATGGATTAATATGAAAGAGTTCTTTCATGTTGATTGATGTATTGTTGGTAATTTTTTTTTTTTTTTTTTTTTAATATAAAAATGTATTTTTATACTTTCATAGGGTTTTCTTTTTGCTTAGGGGTTCATTATTTGTCCAGAAGTGGGACCCTAACAGGTGCTACCAATAGGTGGTTCCACGCTCCTCAAAACCTCCAATCTCCTGATCCAGGACCTTGCCGTCAGGACTATGACATGTTGAAGATGAGATTTTTCTGTCATATCTCATTCCATTACGATACATATCTGTCTGGCTTAGATTTGCTTAGGTTGCCCAAGAAAACCTAGCACGAGTGCTTTCCAGTTCAAGCAATCATTCCATATTAAAATACTGCCTACTGACTGTGGGTGCCACAGCTACACTACTTATTAAAATACACTACTATTAAAATACTTATTAAAATGCACTACTTATTAAAATACACTACTATTAAAATACTTATTAAAATACATTACTGCCTACTGTCTGTGGGTGCCACAGCTACACTACTTTGACCTGTTTCTTGACAAAATCCAACGAAGTGTCTATAATGTAATCAGTCCTGTCCTGGCATCTTGACTTCATTCACTTTTCCACTACGATGACATGGCTTCCGTCTTTTCTATAAATATATTTCCTCCTTGATACCTCAACTGCATGAATTTAAGCTTACTACTGGATTGGTTACTAAGTTTCATACTTTTACTGTTGAAATAGCTATATGTAAATGTAAGTTCTATGATAATAATCTCTTTTTCTCTTTCACTTCTGGAACTCTGTTATGGTTCTTTGTTTCCCTGCCATGTATGATCTTCAAAAATTTAAATGCAAAATGAATCACCATCTTCTGCCCTCTTGAAACCAGTTCCTTTATTGTACTTTCTCCTCATTAAAGTTTTCTCCTTCTCTTTCACTCCCTGTAACCCCTTGCAACTTAGTGGCATTATCACTTTGCTTGGAGTGAATTGATTAAAAGAAATTATATTTTTTTTATTTTTTTTTTAAGCATTGAGCCCCAAATTTTGAAGTGAGGATAATTTTTCACGAGTTCTTGACAAGATCCAGAGAAGGATATGTAATCTAATTGGCCCTGATCTAGCGTCTGCAAAAAGTCACTCTCTCACAGAAATACAATGCCAGAAGCCTCTCTGATTTTTGTGTTTTACTTCCATGGTAACTGCTCTGATGAGCTTATCTCTGGGTTCCCAGACTCCATGAATTCAAGCGCCAAATACGAGGCTGGCATTTTCTTCACTGCACTTGATTAACCGTAGAAACCTTCAAATGTATTCGTCTCTTCTACACCAACCTTCATCCTGGCACCTCTCGCCAGTGGAACACCCTCCCCTGATACTGTTTCCTGACAAGCTATAATCTCCAACTATTCAAATGTAATGTCAATCGACATCTCAATTACCTTGATCTACCCACTATCCTTCTCCTCTTCCTTTCTCCTATCACTCTTATCTGCTCTCGCTCCAAACCCCCTGCTTCCTAAGTTGACATTTCAACATAATGTCACGATAAGCCCAAAGACTTGATGGGGTGACAGCATGCGAAAGAATATAAGAAAAAGAAAGACATAATTGAATTTTGTATCCCTTTTAAAATATTTTGCTTAAATTTATTATCAGAAGAGTTAGTTAATATTTTGTCGATCATTTAAAGTTTGAAACTGTTTAGTTTGTAATAATTGTGTTTTTTAGATAATGATGATTTAGTGATACAAGTCTTAGTAATTAACTCATAGCTAGAGGGGAAGAGATGGATTCATACCTAATCAGAATTTTGGAAACAAATTATCATGTGGATATAAAGTGAGGAACAAAGTCTATATTACAATCAATATATAAACTGATCTCTTAATTTGTGGCCACCATAGTTTCAATACATTTATATTGCAGACAATGTAAACAAATCTAAAAGACGTGTGTAGCTGATCAGTATTTGATTGATTGATTGATTCATTCATTCATTCATTTATTTTGTATAGTTTATCAACCTTTTGCAGGTTATTTAAAGCTAGAAAATGTTTTTAGACTGTAAGATTGTTTTTTATTTTATTTTATTTATTTATTTTTATTTTTATTTTTTTGAGAGAATAGTTCAGTGATACAAGTCTTATTATTTAACCCAAAGCTGGGGGCAGAATTCATACCTTTCCCAAGAGTACTTGCATGTAAGTGAATATAACTTACCCAACACGAATTGGAACTTTGTTCTTTTATTTACAATTCTGAACCATTATCCAAAAAACCAAAACGTCCAAACTTAAGCGTCTGAATATAAACAGTTACCTATAAAAAAGGTAATTCCATTGCTCAACATTACTTAACTTCACTAATCATACAGGAATGGAGGTTTCAACATAATGTCACGATAAGCCCAAAGACTTGATGGGGTTACGGCATGTGAAAGAATATCAGAGAAAGAAAGACATAATTAAGGGGAAGAAACAATGAAAATAACAGAAGATAATGATTAACATTGCATTTAAATTTTTGAAGATCAAACTTGAGTGGGAAGAAAGAAGCAAAAGAGTTCTACAAGAGAGAAGTACAAGAGAAGAAACTGTTGGCATAGAACTTACGTCTAGCCATTTCAATTGTAAAATGGTGAGACCTTACTGCTAATTTAGTACCGTACTTAAATTCATAAAGTCTCGCTACAATAGCAGAATGTTCATCTGAACAACTACCATGAAAGTATTTATAGAAAGTGTATTGTCTTCATTTTACAATAATTTTTATTTTTAATTGTTTTACTTTTGTTTTTATTGATTTTTATTTTATTTATATCTATTTTTAATAGATTTTCTTTTTTATTTGATATATTACCATATTGAGTTTTCCATCGATCGGTATTTGTGATTTTTGCTGATTCAAAGCAAAAATTGGATTTTGTAGCCATTTTATTCAGACTTAATTAAAAGTGCTTTTTTTTTTTTCAAGACACATTTCTGCTCTTATGTTGTGAAAGTAAGAAAAATTGTAAGAAATGACTTTTTAAATTCTTAGTAACTATTTTTCAACAAGATAGGGTTTTTTATTGCAGATACTAACTGTACTAACTACAAGTGACAAAAATATAAATGATCTCCAAACTGAAATTTTAAATTATAACATTTTTTTTTTAATTTCATTAGATTGATTATTTGATTTTTTTTTTTTTCTTTTTTTTTTTTATTTAAAGCCAAAACATATTTTAGATTGTAAGAATAATATTTTTTTCATTAGTGAATATTGCATTGACAATTTTGGGGAGATAACAATGTTTTTTCCTAGCTACAAAAGTCCTACTATTTAAGCCATAGCAAGGCTATTTGTATGTAAGTGAATGTAACAAAATCAACTGGAATTTGAACATGGTTCTCTGATTTTGCATGCTGAGCAGTCTCCAAACTGAAATGAGATTTGTTTGGATACAGCAAACAAAAAAATTTGAAATTATAACATTTTTTAAATTTCAATTTTATTAAATCAGTTTGCTTTTTTTCTGCAGATTATCAACCTTATGAGAGTTATTTAAGCCAGCATGTATTTTGTTTTTTAAAAATAATTATTTTTTTAATGAATATTTCATTATCAATTTGTTGAAGGTAACAAAGATTTTTTTTTTCCAGATACAAGTCCTACTAATTAACCCATAGCAAGGGTATTTGCATGAATATAAAATCTCAATTGAAATTTGAACTTGTCTCTCCAATTTCACATTCAAATCTACTATCTATTACACCACCTACACATCCCAATATCATTATTAGAAATATCATAAATCTTTTTCTTTCTTTTTTCAGGTTAGAGACAAAACTTTCAAAATATTTCATCATGAGTCAATCCAATATTGATTTAGACTTCACTTCTCTTCTGCCTACTCAGCAAAGCTACAGTTCAATTGATGAATCACCACCACCTACCAGTCTTAATAACAATATACTGGCAAATCGATTAGCCAAAATGAACCAACAATACCTCAGAAGCATACCAAATCTGTCAAGGGAGTTAACTTTAGGAAAACCAAAACCTCTCACAGAGGATATGGCCAATACTTGGCCAGATATTGTTCCAACATGCTACTCTACAGGATCTATGAACTCAATGGTTCCAATCAACTCTGAAGAAGAGAGTGATCAATGTGTCCCTGAAATCTCTAAGAATCAAAGTTTGCCAAGTAATATGGATGTCAGTGGTGATCAATGTGTCCCTGAAATGTCTGGGAGTGAAAGTTTTGTCCTGCCAAGTAATCTGTATGTCAAACACATGCAGTCCAACCCTGAAATCTCTACACACCAAAAATTTACCCTGCCAAGTAATATGGATGTCAGTCAAGATCAGAATGTCCCTGAAATCTCGAGTCAAAGTTTTGTCCAGCCAAGTAAGATGGATATCAGTTATGATCAACGTGTCCCTGAAATGTCTATGAGTGAAAGCTTTGAACAGCAAAGATGTCTCCTAAATATACATATTTCACCCAATATGTATGACAATAGTAAAGAAGAATTCTGCTTTCCGGGCAACCTAAGTAAGTTATGACATTTTTTTTTTTCTTTTGGCAGATAAGTTTTTTTTTTTGTTTTTTTCTTTAATTTGAAATGACAGTTATATTTAGTATGACATATTCATTATAAGATCATAATAATGAAAATCTGTCCCATGACCAAGTGAAGTCATAATGCCACAACCCAATCTCTGTGTTCCTGTGAAGAGTCCTCCAATCTGCTCAGGGACAGCTCATTTTTATTTGTTTCTGACCCTTCTTTAGCCTAATGTGATACTTTGACAGATGGCAGTGGAAACATTGTTGTCGCTTACGACATGTCCATACCATTTCAACGTCTACTGTCTTCCTTTTTCTTTTTTTTGCCTAATGTTTGACCTTGTACAATAGCAGTGGAAACATTGTTGGCTTTTATGATGTGTCCATACCACTTCAACTCCCTCTATCTGTTCCCTCCTCTGTTGCTTGTACAATGGCAGTGGAAAATTTGTTGTCTATTATTACATATTCATACCATTTCAAATTCCTGTGTCTGCTCTTTCTTCTGTTGCCTGATATGGTACCTTGTATCATGGCAGTAGAAAAATTGTTGCCTCTTATGATATGTCCATACCACTTCAAATTTCTCTTCTTGATGATAGTTGGGAAATCTTCAAATTGACGTGTTTCTTGCTTGATTGTGTCTCACACTGCATGTGATCTACAGAGTGATTGAAAAGAAGTAACTCCCCATTTTAGAATACTTATGATTTATTTATTAACTGTAATTGTTACGAGAAACAGATATGAGAGGGAAGCATTTAGCATGAGGTTTTATTTAAAATTTGATATGAGCACCAGATTTTGTGAGAAGCTTTTCAGCCTGCCCAAGAATCGTGTCAACTGATTTCACCAGGAATTCTTGTGGTATGGAAGACATAACTTCTTGTATTCACCTTTCAAGTTGTTGGTTTTGTAAAGTAGACTTGCTCCTTTAACCAACCCCAAAGAAAAAAACTCACAGGGTGTTAAGTCAGGACTTCTGATTGGCCACTCATACATAAAATAGGGAGTTGCTTTTCAGTCACCATGTCCATATAATGGTCCTCTAGTCTTCACTATAATTCTGTCAATAATGTCCAAAAATGGCAGGTGGATAGAAAGATTTAGAATGACAATGTACATAACAGTCAGATATTTGATTTTAGGTAGATATTTCCGGTTGGTTTTGGCTTTGCAACTGCTGCCACTGATTGTGCAGCTTGTGAAATTCTTTCTCTTCTGGAACCATCTTTACAGATAACTGAGCCAAGATATCTAAATTATCTCAATAGGTTAAGTTTATAACCACTGACCTATCTTTTCTTGAAAGCCCTTTTCTCATTGTATCCATTACACCAACTTCAATAACACAGATTTTTACTATATATATATATATATATATATATATATATATATATATTTAAAAATAAATATATAGCAAAACGAACTTTCAACTTTTGTAGATGCATAGTGTCTGGGCACTTCATTCTGCCAGTCAGTCAGTCTTCCCCACCCACATTATCTTTAAGTTTTTGATTTGAAGAAGTATTTAGTCAAATCTGTTCAAAATGCCCTCAACTACAAAGAAGTGGGGTTACAAGGAAAATAAAGAAAGAAGTGACTTTCAGAAGAGACAGTTGACACTTGGTTGTAGAGTGAATAGCATATTTCATTTGTTGAGGGTTATAATTTTCAGATTAACCCTTACCAATTAAACACTGCTGTAGTCTACATAAGTAATTCTTAATGTGGTCCAGGTGACCCACTGAGAATTAATAACCATAAAAAAAATTGTAGCCATTTCACAAAAATGTATCTAAATTATTCATACTTTGAAGAATTAAAAAATATAATGTTTTGTTTACATGCCAATTATATTTGAAAATTTTGAAATTATCGAAGTATTATGCAATGCTATATTTATTTTATTTTTTATCATTTATATATATATATATATATATATATATATATATATATATATATATATATATATATATATATACTACTAGTAGTAAAGCCTGGCGTTGCCGGGGATGTAACAGTAAGAGATAGATCAAGTATCGACCATCATCATAAAGACTGAAAAATAAAATTGACAAAAAATTATTGTTTAAGGTTGACAGACACGCATGTCTTAATTAGTTTTTTTTTTTTTGGTTTTTTTTACGAATTGGTCAAACCCAAACTCAAACAAAAACATTGTTCTCAATCGTTATGAGTCTACCGATTGAATAGAATTTTATTATAAACAATTGTCTTGTAAATGGAATTTTTAAAGCATTCTGAATGTAAAATAAAAAGAAAAAGTGTGCAAGACAATAAGAAACACTACCTGCCAAAAAAAAAAGTGAAGTTTTGTTGATATCGGTTGAAAAATGTAGGAAATCCGATCCTATATATAAATGAACAGACACACACACACACACACACACACACACACACACACACACACACAAAAATAGACAAGACAGACACTGCTAGCTCCTTTGTGACTATATCGCTATATACATGGCAAATGTTCAGATGAGCTTCATTCCTTAGATCCACAAGTTCAGACATTAACATCTAGAGCCCACCATACTATGTACACTGGATCAACTCATCGTCGTCCCCTTCGTATTCTGTTAGTAAGGAAGATGTTCCTCTCAGTCAGCTTTTTGCCCAGAACTGTTTCTCTGACCACTATAATCTTAACCCTTTCTACTTTAGAGTCAACCATTATCTATCCTACATATCTTAATAATATACACTTCATAATTTCTCCCTTGAATTTTTGCCCTAACAACAACTACATTTAATTTCTACCTTGAGAGGCTCTTGGGCTTTGTAATAGTTGAACACGAAATATATAAAAAAGTGTATTGGTTTAAAAGGAAGGATTTTGATGACTTCATCCACTTGTCATGCACAGCCAGAGCCTACCAAATCGAACTAAACAGATAATGAAGACCTAGATTATTGTATAGTATCAAAAAAAAAGCATACTAATTTTGAATTTTGACTAGATTTAACCTATTTAGGGTCGGTTGGTTTATGTCCGTTTTCATTTTATCCAACAGTGAGTAGGATGAAGGGTGGTTGCTCCTTGTTTCTATGAAATAAAACCTTTTTAATTCACAAGTTCAATTTATTGTAAGTAAATGCTTTTCATTATGCAGATGGTAACACAGTGTATTGGTGCACCTCCAAATATGTGGATAACCAGTGCCAAGCATGTGATCTATCTTCTGAACTTGCTCACCAATCTCAATGTTGAATGCATACAATTGTGTTCAAAATATGTTCAATTGGAGCCATAAAATTGTGTTCAATATATTTAGATTTCGGCATTAAATAATCCAGAGAGATGTTGATATGCAGCTAAACAAGATCAACCAAACCAACCTTTGGTATAGAGTAAGTTTGACTCAAACAGCTTATTCCCCAGAAATGTTACTTTGTGGAAGAGACTCCCAAGAGGATATCTTTCCTACATGTCCTCATAAAATTCCCTTTTTACTCCCACCACCCCTATGTGAACATGCAGTGGTACTTTCCCAGTTTTTGGTACACATTGACGTGAGCGAGAATAGTGATGCCACATCATTTTGTTACTGATTGATCAGGAGGAAGCTGGGTGAGGATCCCATTTATATATTTTGATGTACTACTAATTTTGTGGCAACTTTTTTTTTTTTTTTTCATTTCACCCAATACAAGGAGATAAAGCCACTAAGACACAAAGGGATTTACTAACAATGAAAGAAACTGAAAAAACTTTCTTGATGAAAGAAGACAATAAAAGAAGAAGATTCAGGGAGTGAGATGATGATGATTGATGTTGCATTTCAAATTTTTGTACATCATTATTGACAGGAAAGTAAGAAGCGGGAAGAGAGCTCCACGGTCAAGAAGTGTGAGAAAAGAAAGTATTTTAATAGAACTTCTTATATCTAACAACTACAACAGTGAAATGATGACACCTAGCTTCCAATATAGTACTGAATTTAAATTTATGAAGTCAAGATACTATTGACATGAATATATTGATAAAAAAAGGCAAAGGGAAAATATATATATATATATATATATATAATCAGAAGTTCCATATCAGGTGTAGCAGCAAGATTCAATGCAAGAATGAATGGTTGACTTATAAAGGTGTAAGTTGTCTTGGGTAAGACGATAAACTACATCTGACAGCAAGGCCTCTGATCAGGTGGTTTTGAGAAGCATGGAACCACCTCTTAATTGCTATTCTTCCCAGGTCCACCTTGACACAGGGTGGTAGCAGCTGTTAGTGTCCCAACTATGGTCAAATACAAGGTAACCAAAAAATTCTGTCCATTTTTAAAGGAAAAAAAGAAAACGCTTACAATATGTGTAACTTATATTTAGTCTTATAATATCATTGGCATCCAGCAACTTCTGCCAACGTGTCTCCAGCTGTGTGGTAAAACTTGGGGCCCTTGCGGTAGAAGTCCGTGAGGGCTTTGTGCAAGTCTGCTTCATTGGTGAAGGATTTCCAACGAAGATGATTATCCAGGGAGTGGAAGAGGTGGTTTGGTTTGGTTTGTTTTATGGCATATCAACCTCAATGGGTCATTTAATGCCAACAGCTTTTTTTTTGGTAATATTTTTGACAAAGTCTCCCACCCAAGTTGCTGTATGGTATCCCTGACCACTCATGCAACATGCAGTCTGGCATTGTCATGAAGGAAAAGCACACCTTTGCGATTCACCAGTGCTGGCTCCTTCTGGCGCAATGCCTGTTGCACATGTTTCAATTGCTGCGAGTATAGGTCTCCAGTGACCGTTTGGCCTGTTGGTAGCAGTTCATAATGAACCACTTGACAGCCTGTCCACCAGACACTAAAGCATAATCTTGCATGGGTGCATAGGCAGTCTTGCAGTGTTAGGAGACAACCAATGTCTGGAATGCTTGGGAGTTTCGTACAGAACCCACTTTTCATCACTGGTAAGCACTCGATTGAATAAGGATGCGGTACAGTGGCGAGAAAGCAGCGATACGCAGGCTGCCACTCGTTGTCCTTTGTGGACCTCCAACAGCGTTTGCGGAACCCACTTGCTCAGTTTGTACATCTTACCCAGGCGATGCAGGTGAAGTCTGTTTCATCAGAAACGTTGAACTGTCTTGCAAGTTCACCACACGTTAGACTACTGTCCTCTTCAATGGCCGCCTTCAGGACTCCATCATTCAAGACCTGTGGTCATCCACTGTGAGGCTCATCATGGAGAGACAAATCTCCCGACTTGAATTTTCGAAACCAACGCCTTGCAGTACGTTCATCCACAGCACTATCCCCAAACGCTTGACACATGCAGTGACTTGATGCAGCTGCTGATAAGCCCACTTTGAAGTCATAAAGCAAACAAACCGAACAAGATATCTAGACACTTCCATCCTCCTCACAGCTGTCCGGCTTATAACTGATGGCCGGGCATGGTGTGCATGTTTTTTTATAATGTCTGATGTTCCTACTTCTGGCTGTCTGAATTTGAAAACAATTGCTACACGCATTTCGTATATATTTCAACTTCATTCAATGACTAATCAAAAAACGGATAGAACCTTTTTTGGTTACCTTGTAGTTAATTACCAAACTGGGGTCAAAATATGATGAATGTATAAAAATATATTTTCATATTAAAAAACACTATCAGCAATACATTTTTGTTAACAAAAAAAAAGGTTATTACCAGTAATATATTTTTGTAAAAAAAAAAAAAATAAAAATTTTCAAAGCTCCCAAGAAACTTACATTTCAGTGTTGTCTTATAAGGCTAAATAAAAATAATAAAGGTGTATGATTCTGACAAAGGGAAACAACTAGCCTAATGGCAGATGTAGCATTTGCTTTCAAATATATCAGAGGGTAATATGAAAGCCGATTTTCATATATAGTAAATTCTAATAAAATAACACTAGGCTTTATTTGATTTTTCTTTTCTGTTTTAGAGAACGATGTATACCACAAGACAGAAATTGATAATAATACCGTGAGTATTTTTCTTTATTAAAGATTTTTTTTTCATTTTTTTTTTATTTTTATTTTTATTTTTCTTGATATCTCTTAATATGCACTTTCTAGATAACTTACTGACCAAATTTAAAATGTCAAGTATTTCAGGAGTTTAATAACAGATATTAAAATATTTTCCTCATTTATTGCAGAAAAAAAACAAAAAAACAGTTGTATAAATATTAAACAAAAAAGTTTTAAAAAGAATGTGTTGAAGAAAGCAATATGGAACTTGCCATTATTTAATTATAAAAAGCGTTACTCAATAATAAATTCTCAAAGTTTCTATTTTCACCAAAAATTCAGATAAATCTAAACTTGAGGAAAAGAAAATACATGAAAAGATTTTCAAAAACCTCCAATATTTTTTTTTATTACTAATGTTTACATAACACAAGGCTCAAGAGCCACTCAAGCTAGACAGTTACTGTGTAGACTTATATTAGCATAGAAAAGAACAAGTGTTAGCAATACTGAGCTAAAGCAGACTTTAAAAGTAACCAGGACCCAATTCTAAAGAGGAAACAAAGGATAAACCTCTACTCCTATTCAAAAGACCAGGAAGAAGTTTGAACCAGACGATAGGTGAACCTATAATCCTCATTATTTCTTCCACAATGTTAAGAGAACGATATATAAAATATACAACCTTCAAAAAATATGATGATGTTGTTAATAACACTGACAATATATTAGATAAAAACAGATATATAATATTGCCTACTAACTCCTTAACATCTACTATCAAAAATAATTTACCCAATCTTAACAATATCAAAATAATTCTAACCACATCCAAAATATATGGATATGATCAGAACCAAAAAAGAAATCACAATAATAATTCTAAAAAATATATATAAAATAAACTGTCACAACTGCACTTTTCAAAATATATTGAGAGAACCTTCGCAGAAATTTTAAAAAAAATTATCTCTGAACTGAAAATGATATTTATATGGCAATTTCCATTCGTTTCTATCAAATCTGAAATGAAGGTCATTCTGAACAGGCTTACTGAATTTTGAAACAAATCCCATTGAAAAAGGCTCTATTACTGGGTTCTACAATGTTTCTGATCTTCATCAATGATCTTCCTGGTGTCATCAGTTCCCAAAAGGCATTTATGCAGATGACACTACCATTTATCCCTATCTCAATAGCAGATCCATCAGATACTAACACAGTTACTCCATATTAACTGCTTTGAAATAAACCACCAATATGTGGTTAAATATTTAAGGAAATGGTTTTTCTAAATTTTAATGCCTCAAAAAATAACCTACTCTGACTTATCCTGCAAAAATATAACCAGAAGCTGAACAACTCCTTAATTTTAGATAATGTTTATTTGAGGATGTCAGCCAATAAAAAGATCTAAATACATATACTTGCAAATTAATTTACATTATTCAGAACTGTTGATCTCATCTTTGCCATAACCTTAAACATTTTTTACCAACGTTTCAAATTTCATGTTTTGCAGCTTCCGGCCTTCTTTTTTTTGGTTGGAATGATATATCCTTTTGGACTTTCACATACTACATCTTTCCAAATTAAATACATTGATCAAGGTTATGGTTGGTTAGATCCAGTGTCAGACCCAAAAGATGTGAGTTCAATATTGGATGAGATAGAATATTTTCATCATTTCTTAAGGAGATCCTCTGATAAGAAAATTGATTCCTGGGATTAACATTCAACGTGGAAGACGCTAGAACAGTCTACCCATACAGCTTTGAAATAAAGGGTTTGTTCGAAATTCCAATCACCTGAAGAATATTGGTGACAAAGGCTGAAATGTTGAAATAAATAAATGCATAAAAGATGAGGATAATTCATTCGAATTGGAAAAATAGACAAGGAGATTTTTTATGATTAAAAATTTATGAATATTAGGTTGAAAAAGATTATAAAATTTGGAGAACATATTATATAAATAATAAGAATATATCTATTGGGGTTGAATATATCATAATATCAAGAAAATCAGAGAAATGGTTTGAACTATTTAAACTCATGTGTTTGCAATTATTTTATTTGTTTTTATTTAATAATTTTGCATAAAATATTAGAATTAACTTTTTATAATTTATATTAAAAATTCAAGTTCAATTTTTAAAATAAAAAAAAAACATTTTAAATCCTCAAAAAATTTATAAAATTTTAATTTAAATAAAATTTTAAATTATTGAACAAAAAAAGTAAACACCATAAAGGGGGATATTTATTTTTTTTAACATTAAATATTTTAGTTATTTGAACAATTAATAAACTTTGTGGAACAGTTTACCAAATTGGTTTCAATATATTTGCAAAAAAAAAAAAATTAAAAAAAAAACATAATAGGATCACATAAATAAAAGCTATAAATCATACATATTTTTATAAAAGTGAATTTATATATTCAACAACAAATCATTAAGAATTTTCTTAACCTTAATAAACATTAATTTTCATAAATATCAAGAATCAAATCAATATTTTTTTTTTTGTTCTAGAATTTAATATTTGTAAAATCATTTGCAATCTGAAAAAATAAATGGGTGAAAGTTTTTCAGAAAAAATTTGATTTATGGAAAGAAAATAAATAAAAATTCAGACCATGTATTTGACATTGGATAAAATGTATATTCTTTGAAGTGTTATCTAAATTATATATATCCAAAAAATTACGAACTGAAATATTTTAACATATATTTGAGAAATTTACATAAAAAATTTCTTGAAATAAAAGTTCTTTTATTTTATACCCTTTGCTACCCAGAAGACAAAAATAGGATAGTATATTAAATTTGGAATATCCAAACTTGCTGAAATATGAAAAAAAATTTCATGAATTATGATCGATGAGAAAATTAAATTTTGAAAATATTTCAATTATAAATATTTCTTCATGACAATATAGCTTATAAATTGCTGATATAAGTTCTGTAAAGAAAAAAAATGAATATTTAAGCATCAAAGACCTAATTCACCCAAACTATTTATACTTTTCCTGGTATATGATTTTTATATATGGCATGGATATTTTAAAAATATAATTTTTTCAATTATTTTGACAATATGATGATTTTCAGTTTTCAAATAGTTCTCAAATCCAACATATATCTACCCATTAGACTCATCGACAATATTTTAAAAAAATGCTTCGATATGAAAGGCTTAAAAAAAAAAAATTTAAATATTCTTAAAATAAATTGTTCATATTTTTTTTTATTTTAAATGAATAAATTTTTATAAAATAATAAGTTATATTAAAATTTCAGGCAAATGAATGAAAGCATTTATTTTCTCACTTAAAAAATATATAATAATTATTTAACTAAATTATATACTTTTTATAAAAATTTCAAAAACAAAAATTTTCATTTAAATTTCAAAATTAAAAATATGAATTTAATGATAATTTTTTTATATAAATAATTTATTTTTTTTTTTTTTGTTTTTACTTTGTAAAATATTTTATATATTTATATATATACTATTTTATTATATATATATATATATATATATATTATACCAACATATTTATACACAAAAAAATACATAAGGTTATATTCTCCTTTCATATTCAATGATGATGACCTCTTTCAAATAAAAATCAGTTATTTGATAATTAACATTATGCATCTAGCTTATTTATTTGATCCAGTGTCCTTTTAGAAAAATTTCTTTATTCAGAACCATTTTACGCTCATTTATTTGGAATCATATATTTCTGATTTTGAGGTGGATAAATTTCTTACAATTATTCACCTTGAAAATTTTTCCTCAAAAGGAAAATATTTAAGATGGACACCATTATAATCCCAAGGCTATAAGTATTTGTCTATATGCTATTTAAAATGAGGTTGAAGAATTTTACACAATGTTGTCTTTTAGCAATGATTGCAATGTTGAATGTTCAACATATCCATGTTTAATAAAACTT